TTATCATTGTATCTGCCATTACAAAAGATTTGTCTTTAGGACATGGTATCTCTCTGCAAGAGACACAACATGGTGTCCTGGTTTACCTAACTTATTAAGCTATCATTGGTTTGACTTGGCTGTGTGCAATATGTTAATTCAGTCATGGCAATTTGGTAATCATAGTTGATTGCAAATATGTTATGTAAACATAACCAATTGTGGCTTAGTGAACCATGATTAAACAAATAATGGCATAGTGGAATGCGTGAAGCCGTCCCAACAGATATATCAGTTATTCTATAATATCTAAGATTATGGGGTTTTGCCATTTTCCTTATGAATTTAAGTATATATTTCCATAAAAGTAATGTACTTTTAATAATGTGTGTGTATAAAAACAAATAATGTATATGTATAAAAACAGTAACAGAAGCAAATGAACAGCACTAGACAAATCAACAGCAATGGAAATGAACTGAATAACTATCACTTTCTCTGCATGTGATTGCAAAGTCTTAATATACCCTGCAAATATGTGAACAGAAAACCTGGTACTTGAGTGGGTTTCAAATCCTACTGTGCAAAAATAAAAATATTTGTTAGCCATAAAAGACTTCCTATGCCTAGCATAATTAAATGTGACATATTAAGTGGATGGTTAATACATTTGCTATATACCTCTCACTACTTTCAGTTGTGAAAGGTGGCAGGTTTGGGAAAGACAAGGTGTGACCTCCCAGGCTTAGGCTGCTCATGTTACAGCCTGAAACTGACAGATGTAGCGGCATGGCCCTAGATGGCAGCAACTTATAAATCTGAGCTCCAATTCCAATCCAGAGGGTAAGAGCAAATCCACAGATGAGACCTATAAATGAACCCTGTAAAACAAGAAATAGAATCCTGTTCATAATTTAAAGAAAAGCATAGGTGAAAGAAATAAAATGTGTTATTTTATTCCCCCCATCCCACTGTAATTTCTAAGCATTTTAAACATTGTACTTTTAGAGACTAGTCAGACATTACATTAGTAGCCTATTTAGGATTATGCATACTACTATCTTAACTAAAAGCAGCCACAGGACTTTTTAATATAATTTAGAACGGTAGAAGGAAAAGGGTCTCTAACTCATCCTGTTCATATTACTTCTGAGACAAAAATCATGCCCCTATAGTACAGTGGTACCTCGGGTCACGAACTTAATTTGTTCTGGGACTCTGGTCGTGACCCAAATTGGTCACGACCCGAATCAAATTTTCCCATAAGGTTCAATGTAAATACGGTTAATCCATTCTAACCCCTACGAATTTGATCGCCAACCAATTTTGACCCGAATCAAATTTTCCCATAAGGTTCAATGTAAATACGGTTAATCCATTCTAACCCCTACGAATTTGATCGCCAACCAATTTTGACCCGAATCAAATTTTCCCATAAGGTTCAATGTAAATACGGTTAATCCATTCTAACCCCTACGAATTTGATCGCCAACCAATTTTGACCCGAATCAAATTTTCCCATAAGGTTCAATGTAAATACGGTTAATCCGTTCTGAACCACTACGAATTTGATCGCCAACCAATTTTGACCCGAATCAAATTTTCCCATAAGGTTCAATGTAAATACGGTTAATCCGTTCTGAACC